AATGAATTCAGTTATATTAGGAAATTATTTTTAAGTTAAATAATAACTGAGTATAGATAATTATTAACTAGTAAAAATTGAGAAAGTAAGTATTGAAGAAATGAATCACTTTTTGATTTTGTTCTTCCTATTTTTTACCTAATTAGATTGGTTTTTGCTGCTTTAATTTGCAACTTCAGTTTTATCATCTTTTTCACCTTTCTAATTAGATTCATCAGACTCAGTATTTTCTTTTTGAGAATCAGTTTATTCATGCTAAACCTCATCTGATTTTTTTTCATTCTTTTTACTTTTAGCATCTCTCTTATTATTTTCTGAATGTACTTAAGTTCTTTTTAATATTTCTTGATTCATTTCTTTTTGTTTAGAGTAAAAGTAGTAGACCAAATAAATCAGTGCCATAATGATAAAGTTTTGAGAAAATAGGAAATCCACAACCAAAAAGATTAAACCTATAGGATCTTTTAACCATCTAAGAATAGAGAAAGATGCTTTTGATGATCCAATTGTAGCTGATTATTAACTTGCTTATGTTTTCGATTGCTTATTCTATTTACCTATTCTAGCTTGACTATTTTAAGATTAAGAGTTTGGTCCAGATGGATTATTGCTGTATTATTACTCTTATTTTTGCTGATTTGATTATTATCGATTATTGTCCTAAGACTTTCTTTCCTACTATTTTTGCTAGTGCTGCTAGGGATTAGTCTTTTAGTTATAATAATCAACTTTTTCTATTGTCTTGTCGTCAACATATTTATTAACATCAAACTCTACTTCTCCTTGTTGACCTGCATTTTTCTAAGGCTTTTGCTTTCTCAAATCTATTTTTGGGCGTCCTCCTTGCTTGTCTGCATTTTGAGCTTACTGGTTAGCTTACTAAGCTTATCCAACTAACTACTCGTTAATTATCTAATCATCAACAACAGGCTTCTTGTTATTTTAGAATCTATTGTTTGCACGTCTTTCAGTTGGCTCAGGTTTCTTTATCTCAGGTTCTTACTGCTTCTCGGGTATATTGTCTTGTAAATTCTCATTAAAGTTCATTTTAGGTACAAATTACTAGTTCTGTGGTAATTTTGAAGCACCTGCATTGCCCTTTCTTTCATAGTTAGGCATTTTAATATTATCTTATTGCTATTGAATTGAGGACTATATAGTTTATAATTAATAAGATTTACTTCATATAAAAATGTCATTGTTTTCTTATCCTCTTCATCGATTTGAATTTTACCTTTAGTTCTAGCTAGGACCTCAAAATTAGTCAATTAATTGATTTAAGGTTGCATCTTTTAAAGTTCCCCAGTCTAATCAAAGTTTATTCCAATGTACTAAAATTGAATGTAATAATCAGTTAATAGGATACCTCAGCAACTTCAGTGCAATCGATATTCTTAATACACTCTGTAATCATCTTGTAGTAAATAGCAAGTTTGTTTCTTTTGTTCATCTAAATTCTATATTTCTCAAGGTTCTTAACATTGTGTCGAGAAAGATAACTGCAAACGTATAATTTTTATTTAGGCTGAATTTCATCAGTTATATCTCTCTAGATATAGGCTAAGGAAGTCTGTATCTAAATCAATGTCACTACCAGTATAATCAAATCTTTGAACATATTTAAATATAAATTCAATATTATATATCTATAAAATTGGCAAATAAATAGCAAATGGGGTTTTGGGGTTTTGGGGAGATCGGAAGAGCACACGTCTGAAC